ATGGGGAGTCACTGTAACTGTAGTAACCTGGAGAGTGTGTACTAGCTAGTTTTTTCTGGATGAATAATGAATCTAGGTCAGGCCTGCAAATGTTGCCAACTTTTCTGGTTTTCAAGAAGCTGGAAATCTGTGTTTAAAATTTTTTTTTATTGATTGATTTTAGAGAGAGGGAGAGACATTGATTTGTTGTTCCATTTATTTGTACATTCATTGGTTACAGTGTTGTGGACAGGGATTTGCAGCTAAATTCCACAAGAGAATACAAAGGAAAGCAGGAGGGTTTTTTTTGTGGTCAAAGTTGTTGATATTAAAAAAAAATTTTTTTGGTTTGATTATAAAAAGTAATATGGCCATCATAGGACATTTGCAAGTATAGAAACAGGTAAAAAATATCCTATAATTCCATCACTCCTATTAATATTTCAGAGTTGTTTCTTCTGGCCTTTTAAAAATATTTTATGTAGTTTGGCTAGTGTGGCTCAGTGGTTGAGTATCAACCCATACACCAAGAGGTCGCCAGTTCGATTCTCGGTCAGGACATACGCCCAGGTTGTGGGCCTGATCCCCAGTGAGGGGCATGCAGGAGGTGGCCCATCGATGTTCTCTCTCATCGATGTTTCTCTCTCTCTCTCTCTTTCTTCCTCTCTCTCTAAAATCAATAAAGGAAAACAACTTTTTTAGCAATTATAAAAAATTTTTTTTAATCAATTTATTTTTGTTACAGATGTTTCTCTCCCTCCCAACCCCTCTGCAGACACCCTTCTGCCTGTCCCCCCGCCCCCAAACATTGTTGTCTATGTTCATTGGTTACACATACATGCATGTAAGTCTTTTGGTTTATCTCATCCCTCCTCTCCCTGAGGTTTGTCAGTCTGAACCGTACTCCTTTCTATGTCTCTGGGTCTGTTTTGCTCATCAGCTTTTTTTGTTCATTATAGTCCACAAATAAGTGAGATCATGTGGTATTTGTCTTTCTCTGATTGGCTTATTTTGCTTAGCGTAATACTCTCCAGGTCCCTCCATGTCATCTCAAAGGATAAGAGATCTCTCGTTCTTACAGCTGCATAGTGTTCCATTGTGTATATGTACCACAGCTTTTTTATCCACTCATCTATTGATGGACACTTGGGCTATTTCCAGATCTTAGCAATTATAAATAGTGCTGCTATGAACATAGGGGTACATATATTTTTTCTGATTGGTGTTTCAGGCTTCTTAGGATATATTCCTAGAGTTCCAAAAGAAAAAATTATTTTATATAAAGTAGAAAGAACATGGGCTTTATGGTCACAAACTGTCCAACTGGCCTTGGGTAAATCCTTAATGTCTTTTGGCCTCAGTTCCCTTTTGTGTAAAATGGGAATAATTTCTATTTTCAGGGGTGGTTGAGGGTTGAGAGAACTGAATGACAAAAGCACCAAGCAGAGTATGTGCCACATCGTAAGTGCTCAATAAATGGTACAACCACCTGCCTGAGAGCATAGTGTGTGCACTTACATAAGCTGCATTTTTATTTGTCCTGAGCATTGTCTTTGGTCTGTAAGCCTTTGTAAACGTTCTTCAAGATTTGTAGTCCAATATTAGGATGTACTGTAATTTATTTAGGAAGTCTATTATTTTAAGGTGTTTAAATTGTTTCTAGATTGAGGCTTTTTTCCATGGATAATTATAATAATAATAATTTTCATAAATAAGAACATTAAATAGCCCTGTCATTAGGAGCTGCAACAAATTAGGTTTGGGAACTGTAGCTCCCCAATGGCTGAGGTTGTAGAGAATGGATGTGTTGACAGGGCTGCTATATGCACATAATTGCTGTGTTCAAATGGACTAGCAGTGGGCATTTCTAGTCAGTGCCTCACACGCCTGGGCCCCTGGAGCAGAAGATTCTTCTTTCTTTTGTCCTCTGGTGTTCAGACCCTCAGAGATATTGAACATTGAAGAGCTACAGCCCCTGCTTTGGGTCAGCCCTAGCTCTGCCCTCAGAGAAGTCCTGTTCTAGTGGGGAGATAGACACTGAAACCAAAGATAAGTGGAATGTGTGGTGAAGATGCTCATGAGGGTGGAGGTCAGAGAACTCAGGAGTAGGGTGTTGTGGCTCTGTCTGGAAAGGTGGACAAGTTTTCTTGGAGGCTTAGGTAGAAAGAAGACACATTCACCAGCAGGATCAATGGTGGGAAGTAGCTCTGAATGTTCTGGCACTTGCTAGAATTTAATATAGCTGGACATAAGGTGGAGGCCTTGATATGAGTGGGGACAGCAGCTGGGCACAGAGGGGCTATGTGCCATGACTGCTTCATCTCTGGGTCTCCAGTACCTACATAGAGCCTGGACCATGGTGAACCCACAGTCTGTGGAGACTGAACACTTTTATAAAAAGCTTTAGTTGAAGTTCTCAGCTGTATTCCTCAGGCTGTTTGGCAAAGTTCTAGAAGTTGGTTCATCTGGGAATCTGTGGACATACTACATGTGCTGATATATAGGTGGCTTTGCTGTCTGAGAGAGGAATGATGTCTGCCAGGAGTTGGCACAAGGAAAGTCGAACTCAGGAGCAATTGGCTCTGAAACTGGTCCTATGATTTGTACCAGATTTGGTTCCAGAGACTTCTAATTGCAGGCACTGAGCTAATAAGCCGGCCAGCCATCTCAAGGGCATCTCAAGTCCAATCCTCTAGGGCGGGATGTGTGCTGTTATTGGAGCAGTTGGCAGCTCAGTGGCAGCCTTGGCACCCACAGGTGTGCTCAGTTATTGTAGGCCTGACTCATTGCCTGCATTTTCCTGCTGTGTGGCTCAGAGCTGTTGTAGGCTGCCATTCCTCACCCAGACTTGAGGGATGGGTAGTTGTTGGGGTTGAGCTGAGCAGGGAAAGGGAGGGAGGTCAAGAGTTGCTGATAGCTGCTGTGTGTCTAATGCTTTGCTGGGTGCTCTGTACACATCTGTGCTTTAATCCTCGTGAAAAGCACTTAGAATAGATGTTGGTATCTTCTCCAAATGAAAGAAAAAGAAAGCAAGTTTGGAGAGTTTAGGTAGCTTCATCAGGATGATACAGTGAATAGAGCAGAGTAAGCAGCATGTTGATTTCAGAGCCCATGCCTGTTTTCACGCTGCTCCAGATCTGTCTTCCTTGTGGGGTGGTGGTCTTGGCCTTCTTATTGAAACCTTGATGGTGTAGTACAATCTTAGAGAGAGCAGCAAAAGCCCATGGTCCCAGCCTTATTACTAGCCATGTAAGCAAGTCACTGCAACTACTTGGGCCTCAGTTTTCTGATCTACAAAATAGGGATAAATTTCAGTGTCTGTACTTAAGCAGTTTGTATGGGAATCAGAGTAGATGGATGACTGGGAACCCTGTTGGCACCAGGCCAACATGAGCGTGCTGTAACAGACTTGAGATGCAAGTTCACCTCTTCCTTCCTCCTTCCCTGTTTCTAAGTGGGGCCTGTAAGTGGAGCCCAAGGTAGAGATCAGGCTGATCTTTCTTTTCTAAGAAAATGGGTGTCAGAGCCAGATCCATCTGGATTTGCTCTCTGTGCTGACATGTAGCAGTATATGTGTGACCTTCAGTAAGACCTTGACCTCTTTGAACTTTGGTATGCTGTCCTTAAATTGGAAGAAAAAGCACCTTGTTGGTCTGTTAGGCTTAAATGAGATGAGTACATTTGGTGTTTGCCACTAAATGTTGGCCTTGTTCCTCTCACACTCTGAGAACTGGTGCTCTGGGGAACTGCCACAATATAGTGCATTCACAGACTTCTTTTCTCCTTTAAACAGCTGCAGGTGCATAGGGTCATTGTCCCCTTCTATTCAGCTGTGTTTTGAACTAACGTGTATAACACTATGTGACAAGGCTTATGCTGGGGCTGGTGATATGTCTGTGGACAGGGCAGACTTGCTGGATTGCTGTTAGTAGGGTGGATAGAAAGACACAGAACATCATCAGACCTATACATGTGTATGAGTATAGAGTTCTGGGTGGTGCTGTGAAGAAGTTCATGTACTGGGTGGCTAGGGAAAGGCTCCTTGTGTGACAGGCTGGGCCTGAAGGATGAATAGAGTGTACAAGGGAAGAGGATGGGCTAGAGTGACTAGGAGAAGAATGTTTTGGAAAATGGGTGTAAACTCTCTGGATCTGACCCACTGGTCAGTGAGGACCAGGCACAGGGAGTGGAGTACAGAGAGGCCAGGCTTCAGCAGTCGGGATATTTTAATGTTTATCAAGGGCATCCTTCATGGTTAATGATGCCTCCTGGGGCAGTCTGGAGGCTCAGGTGGAGTTATGACCAGAGCTGTGAGTCCCAGCTCTGCCAATGAGTCTCTAGGAGTCCTTGAGCCCTGATCCTTTTTGAGACACAGTTTTTTCCTATCTTTAGCATGGAAAGAAAAACAAACCTGCTTTGGAAACCATAGAGTCCTCACACAGATATAAGGGTCATCATGGTCTCAGTCTACAAGGGATTTGGGATAACTCATGAAAATACATGCAGTATAAAAGTATATATTTAGTAGTGGGTCAGAGGGAAATTATTGGTAAAAAGACAGAAGCTGGGCTGATGATCATCACCTAAAATTCACTTCACTATATCTTCCTGAACATTTGCAGAGGTAGGTAAGCTGCTAGATTGAATTCTTCCTGGCTACCTGAGCAAAGAGACAGGGTCAGGTACTTCATTCAAGATGCCTTAAGGTAGTAGGGAAAAATAGTGACAGGCTGGTGTGGCTCAGTGGTTGAGTGTCAACCCATGCACCAAGAGGTCATTGGTTCCATGCCCAGTCGGGGCACATGCCCAGTATGGGGCATGCAGGAGGCAGCCAGCCGATGTTCTGTCTCATCAATGTCTCTCTCTCTTTCCCTTTTCTTTGTCTCACTCTAAAATCAATAAAGAAAAACTATGATTAAATAAAAATATAGCGACAGTGGAAAAGCGTGACTTTTTCCTGTACTGAGGCTCTGGCAGGGCCACTGTGTGCATAGGTAACTGCTTGTTTGTCCTGTTTACAGGTCTGCTGGAAACGTTGGGCAATGAACTGGAGACGTCAACCCAGAGCGGTCTGAAGCCATTTGGGAAAGCAGAGGGATCCTGGGGAAGATGGCCATGGCCCCAAGCTCTTCCCTGGCTCAGGTGTATACCAGTCCTGTGGCAGTGGCCGTGTGGGAGTGGCAGGATGAGCTGGGCACCTGGCACCCCTATAGTGCCACTGTCTGCAGCTACATCGAGCAGCAGTTTGTCCAGCAGAAGGGTCAGCGCTTCGGGCTGGGGAGCCTGGCCCACAGCATCCCATTAGGTCAAGCTGACCCTTCGCTGGCCCCTTACATTATTGACCTCCCCAGTTGGACCCAGTTCCGCCAGGACACTGGTAAGATATGTTCTTTCTCTAGTATGTATCTAAGCAGTTGTTTTGGGCCAGGCGCCATGCTAGGTGTTAGAGTTACAGAATCGACTCTCAGAGCTTAGTCCTGCCCCTGATAGTCACACAGTTGGGAGGCGGGTACTGTGAGTGATAGCAGGTACCACACAATGTGAGATGTACAGTAGGTGTTGTTGTTAATACATTCTGTGACTTTAGGTGAAATGATGTATAATGAAACCAGTTTTACTACAGGCTAATTGATATAAATAAGAGTTAAATTCCTGTAGTACCTCATCAACATTTTGATGAAATAACATTATTTGAGTCCCTGCTATACCTCTTAGTAGTAGAGGGTACCTTGGGAGCACAGTGCAGAGGCCCTCCCAGCCCCTTTCCTTCTTGTTTCCCAAACCACCAAAAATGTCTGCTTCTATCTGCAGAGATGAGGCTCTTGCTGCTGGCAGCCAGCATGGAGGTGGTGTGACATGCTTGTTGAGGGGACCTGGTCGTGAGTTCTGGCTCCAGTGCACCATAGCTGTGTGACCTGGACAGGTTACTTTACTCTCCTGTGCACTCATGTTTTGTTTTGATCAGAATGAGTCCACCAACTTCCTCCCAGAGTTTGCCCTGTGTCTAACCCAGTAGTTCTCAGCTGGGGGTGATTTTGTCCCCCAGGACATTTGATAATGTCTGGAGACATTTTTGATGGTCACGACTGTGGGGCAGGGTGCTACTGGCATCTAGTGGGTAGAAGCAGCCAGGGATGCTGCTAAGCATCCTACAGTGCACAGGACCGGCCCGGGGCAAACAATTATTGGCCCAGAGTGTCACTTATTTCAAAACTGAAAAACCCTACTCTGATCCCTGTAGCAGCATCCTCAGGTGAGTGAGGATTAAGACTTCCAATCAGTTGAATGTAGATCAAAGTCCTTGCCTTCATGATTTTTGCAGGAAACTAGGAAAGATAGCACACAAGATAATGTATAAATTGTGTTTTCTGTTAGAGAGCAAGCAATAAGCGTTAATCAAGGAGTGGAAGTATAGGTTGGAAAAGGTCGTTTGAGCTTCGGTGGCACTGACAAGGGATGGAGACAAACCTGAGGGAGGGGCAAGTTCTGCAGTGCTTTTCAGTCACTCAAAGGGACTGCTTTTATTCTGAAAGAGGGAGCCATGGAAGGATTTGGGCAGAGGAGTGACGTAATCTGATTTGGGGTAAAGAGCATCCCTCTGGCTGCTGTGGATGGAGGCAAGGGCTGCTGCAGTCAAGAGACCAGGTGGAAGGTAATTGCAGTGATCATCTTTTGGCAAGTGCTATTGGAAGCGTGACCTAAATTTATTTTTTTTCTTTTTCTCCTTAATCTTCAGGTTTGATTTTATTAAGTGTACAAACTAAGTTAGGCACAGGGTGTTACCCAATATTTGCTACTTGAGAAGTCAAAGGGAATGGTACATCCATGTAAGAGAATTATGTAACAATTAATAATGAGTTTGACAAAGTTTTAGAGACGTATGAGATACTTATGGCATAATACATGAAAATAGCAGGAAACATTTTTCAGTATGATTGTCAACTACCTGAGTGTATGTGACTAGATGGGAAGAAAGGCATTGCAACATAAATCATGTCTTTCCTCTTGGTGGTTGGATTATGGATGATTTCATTTTCTTTATACTTTCTTGTTTTTTGTTTTTTAAGTGAGGCTGTGTAGGTATCATTAGAAATATTTTTTAAAGCCTCATTGAGTCTGAGCCACAGTAATTCTTTGACCTAAGCTTCTAGCATCCACCACTCCTGCCCAGGAGCATGGATTCCCTGCTGCTGCTTGATCCCTTTGGGCCACAGGTTCATTACCCAAAGAGAGCTCTCTATCCTTCAACCAAAATTTGGAAAGAACAACCAATGCCAGCAGCCATTAGGTCAGATGACACCATGACCCTATATATATGCCATGATCATATTGGTTTATTTTGATTGTGGAAAAAATAATTTTTAACCTCCTTTTGTTTTGGGGGTACTAGTAGATTAACCATTTAAATGTAATATTCCTTATAAAACAGGCACCATGCGGGCTGTGCGGAGGCACCTGTTCCCCCAGCTTTCAGCCCCCGGCCGAGGCATTGTCTGGGAGTGGCTGAGCGATGATGGCTCCTGGACTGCCTATGAAGCCAGCATTTGTGACTTTCTGGAGCAGCAGGTGGCCAGGGGCAACCAGCTTGTGGACTTGGCGCCTCTGGGGTACAACTACATCATCAACTATGCCACCCACACACAGACCAACAAGACTTCGAGCTTCTGCCGTAGTGTGCGGCGCCAAGCAGGGCCCCCTTACCCAGTGACCACCATCATTGCTCCACCGGGCCACATGGGAGTCGCCTGCTCTTGCCATCAGTGCCTCAACGGTGGCGGGACTGGCCCAGTGTCAGGTCGCTACCGCCATTCCATGACCAACCTCCCTGCATACCCTGTACCTCAGCCCCCCCAAAGGACTGCTGTTGTCTTTGGAGCCCATCAGGCCTTTGCCCCATACAATAAGCCCTCACTCTCTGGAGCTAGGTCTGCACCCAGGCTGAACACCACCAACCCCTGGGGTGGGGTGCCACCCTCCTTGGGGAATCAGCCCCTTTACTGCTCCAGCCTCTCCCACCTGGGACCACAGCACCAGCCCCCAGGATCATCCACTGCCAGTGGAGCCAGGTATCTTGTGTAATTGAAGGTCATTTTGTCCATCTGTGTACTTTGTCAGCCAGCTTGGGTTTTGCTTTTACTTAGTTGGGAAGACTCGCCTAAATACCTGCACACTTGGCGCCTGCTTCCTTTGTGTTTCTGCTATATCATCTCCTTTGCATGTGCCATGTGGTGCCACAGCTGTCCACAGCCTTTATCCCATGGAGCCTTGACCTCTGGGACTTGAGTGTTGATAGTTGCCACACTGGTTAAAACCAGTAATCCCTCCATTCACACAGGAGACTTGAGCTTTCTGTGTAGAGCAGCTGACTACCTTTGAGCTGTGCCTGTGTGCCATGTAGCTGGTACCAGGTGCCTGAGAACATTTTACGTACTCCTATGTGCCAGGCACTGAGGACACAGACATGGAAGGTTCAATCCTCTCCCTAAGTCCACAGTCTTGGCCAGGGGAAAGTTGTGAGTTCAGCTTTGGTGCTTAAACATTGGTTGAGGAGAGAGCAGAATGTTGGGGGTGGCAACAGGTGACGTAGGACAGTTTCTATGCTGATACATTCCAGTGTCTATCAGAGTTCTCTGCACCTTGAGAAAGATGATGAAATAGGCCCCATTCAGACCAGTTGGCACTTTAAAGTGAGAAAAATCTCCTGGAGTGGCCAGTTGGGCTGTGCTCCCAGGGTGCTCAGACACCTGTCACTGATGAGGGCCTTGTCATTGATCATTATTGAGAGTGTTGGGTTTGGAGAACATTTTGAGAATTCAGAGTGGTAGTTGGGATGGGGGCTGATTTCTGAGGGAGGATGACCTGGACAGGTAGTGACTGGACATGTGGGCCTGTGACTGCCCTGTTTCCCAGGAGTCAGCATCTTGTTGATTTGCACCACTGTCACCCAGTCAGCATCTTGGTGCTGCCTCACTCACCCAGCCCCATCCCTGCCCACTTGACCATGACGAAGGCTAAAGCTTTCTGGTGTGGCTGAGCCCTTGGCAGCTTTTTGGGCCTCTAGCATTTTTCCAAGCTAGGTTTCAGAGGACCCTGTCAGCTTCTAGAAGACACAGTGACAACTGCTATTCACTGAGCACACTTTCTAGCCAGCCCCATTGAGCAGGCTGTGTGAGTGATTTCATTAATCCTTATAACAGCCATGTGCTGGGTGATGTCCTCAGCTTACAGGTGAGCACGTTGAGGCTGACAAGGTTGGCAGCACAGCCAGCAAGTAGTAGATCTGGGATTAAACCCATGTGGGACACAGGGAGTTCTTGAAGCTCTCTTAAAGGCAGAAGGAGAGGAAGCAGAAGGTGTCCAGAGGGATGAGTGTGAAGGAGTCTGACAGACAGGAGAGGAATGGGTCGGGGCATCTTCCTGGGTCTTTTCTCCGTCTGAGAGTTGGAGTATGTGGATCTGAGTTTTTTGGGGGAATTGGGGGTACAGGGAGGTTTCACTTGGGCCTTCTCTTTGGACTTTCCCATAAACATAAGCGAGAAGGACTCTGTGTTAGCCCAGTTCCAGCCAGTGCCCTTTTGAGGCCCCCTCCAATATGTGGGTCAGTCTCTTTTAGAGAAAAGTGCCTATATCTGCCAGCCCAGAATGATTATCAGTAGGACTAGAGTTTCCACTAGATCGGCTTTGCCTAGCCTCCTGGGACTTCTTGGTGTTCTTACAAATTATTTGAAGGCAAATTTCTAGATGGTTCTAGAGGTGGGATTCTGAGATTGACCCAGGCAACTTAATAGGCTTGGTTGCTCTCTCCTAATATGGGGCTTTCATTGCTTTCCCCTCCCCAGCCAGAGGCCCAAGAAACTGTTGATGTGGATCCAACAGGTACAGGCCAGGCAAGTTACTGACGGGAAAGTGGCTGGGCCAGATGGTCTTACCTTTATTACTGAGCCATGCATGTTGTTGCTTGTCCTGCATTGTAAGCCAGGAGGGAACCAGGCCAGCTGGCTCTCTTAGTTGAAACAGCCTCAAAGGGACCCGCTTCCTAAGGTGGATGTTCATCTTTATCTCCTACAGCTTTTTGGGAACTGGGAGGGGTGTTGTTTACATGCATGGGCCTATCCCTGCTTTGAAAAACTAAGTTTTCCTGTATCTAATTTGTAGTAGGGCCCTCTTCAGTTAACCCTTCACTGATGGGTATTGTAGAGCCAGAGGGGGCTTAATAAATAGCTGACCTCTTACTCTAGCAGGGTTGGGAGGATTGAAAACTCTGGGCAACTTGGTCTCCCTAGGGGCTGTGGTATAGTTTTCAAAGCCAAATGAATGTGAGCAGCATTAGGTGAAAGTTACCATGTGTATGGAGGAAAAGAGAAGGCAGCAGGGCAATCAGTGCCATGGGCTGGGGAAGCCTGAGAACTGGCTGTGTTTACTGGTAGCCATTGGAAAGAACATGTAAATGAATAAAATCAAAATTTGTGGAACCCATGTGGTTTCAAATTGCTTCTTGCTCAGTCTGGTAAAATCTTGGCTGACTGATTTCCTTGTGCCCTAAGAGTCTTTCTGAGTAGGCAGTAATACATTGATAAGGGGCAGCATTTGTCACTGAGCTGCTGGATTTAAATAAATTTCTTTTAAGCACCAAAGCTGAAGTTTATCCCTTTAAGCACTAAACTTGTGTTTTAATGATGTTGGATGGAAAACTTTCCAAAATGTGCCATGCAGGCTCTTGTCTTCTTTAATAAGAGGGTGTACCGGCTTATGCACTTTAATGGCTTGGGGTGGTGATTATGGCCAGTCTGTTGCAGCTCTGGTGTGGCTAAGCCTTGGCACGCTTTGTCTCTGTACTAAACAGCCCTAGAAAATGGCTTTTCCAGTTTGCTTTCATTTGCTCTGTTCTCACTGCTGTTCTCCCTTCCTCTAAAGGCACCCCACTCTCTACTGCTGTTGGCCACGCTCCTTAGGCTTGTGTGATTTGAAGTCCTGGGTTCCAGGTGGGACCTCCTGACTCACTGCAGTTCTCTGGGCCAGCTCTGTTCCCTTTCCAGGTCTCTCTTTCCCCTCTTAAAATTAAGGAGTTGGGCTGGCCAGTTTCTGAAGTTTCCTTTTGCTGTAATATTGCTGTTGGTTTCAGGGTTTAATGAGTGTCCTGCAGAAAGGTGTTCAGCAGCCCTCAGCTTTCCTGTACTCCCTTTGTTCCTCTAAGACCTGGGAAACAATGGACATTTGTATTGGGGTGCAGATCAAACCTTGAAACTGCCCTGGGGCCCTTTTGGAATTATTCTCATCTTACAGATAGAGAAATTGAAGCTCAGAAAGAGTACTTAACATGCCTAAGGGCACACAGCTGTAAATGGGAGCAGGCAATGGAAGTGGGGTGTCCAGACTCTACATCTGATGCTCCTTGTACAGTACATGCTGTCAGAAGTCCCCCAGTTGGTGCTGGCTACCTGGCCTTTGAGGAGCTGGAGGAAGGCCTTGCATTTCCTCTTCAGCCTCCAGTGCTACCCCTTACCTGAGACTGTCAAATTCTGTTTGTTCTCAAGTGTCATGTTCTCAGCTCCATTTGGAAGCTCTGGGAGATGGTCTCAGACAGGAAAGCCAGGTAGAGCCTAGTAGGTAGACCCAGAAGAGAGGAGGCAGGGAGGAGGCTCTGAGGCAGTGACTGAGGGAATTCTAAGAGAAGGGCACTTGATGGAGCAAATGATGCCCCCACAACAGAACCATTCTGTGCTAGTGTTGTGCTGAGGTGGAACTGATTGGTGACCTCCAAGGTTCTGTCCACTCCTGAGAGTTTCCATCTTGGGAACCACTGCATCCTTTTTCTGCTCCACTCCCTCTGATCAGAGCAGGGAAATAAGAGGAGCTGAGATAATTCACAGGGAAAGTGGCCACGTTGGGAGATCCCTAAGCAAGTAGAACTTAGTCATGGTTCCTAGTTCCTGGTCCCAGTTCTGGAGTGAGCTGCCCACTGGAAGCCTCACTGCGTATCTGTTTTCTGCTCTAGTTCTTGGGGGTAGAACCTAAAATTACACCTTCTTCCTCAGACATGTGTCTGTCTCTGGTGAAGAAAGTCCCTACTTCCTGGAGCCCATCTGGGTCAGTGGTACTGAGCCCACTGAGTAGCCCACTAATTGTGTGCAGTTGTAGAGCCAAGCTTTGGCTTCCCAGCTAAAGGCTCAAGCTTAGTACTCCCTGGAGAGGTGGTTTGGGAGATGAAAGATGCCTGGAAGGGCTATATCTTCTCGAATTCCTTCACTTACAGAACCTGAGAATTGCAAAGACCATCAGAGATTATGTACCGTTGGGGGGGGGGGGGGGCAGGGGAAGAGGCTCAAAAGGTAGGGTAGGGTGTGGGGTTGGAGCTTATTACAAATTAAACAGAGCTTAGTGGGCCAAAACCTTAGCCCAGGTGTCCTGAACAGCCAGCCAGCCCTTCCATTGCATTATCAGAGCACTCCAGATCCAGTTCCATTGTTCTCTTGGGGATGAGAGTAGATGAGGAGGGTAAGAAGTTGGTATTTGAGTAGCATGGCCACACAGGATATTCTCATTGGGAGAACAATCCAGGAATGAAAACAAAACAACCTCTATCTTCACTCAGACGTACCAGAACACCTGCTGTGCTGTAGAGCCTGATCAAGGTCCCAGTGGCTTCTGCACCAGCTATGTGTGAGGTTTTTCTAGTTTGGATTAGAACCAGCCAGCTCCCTGTAGTTTCCACCAGTGGGATCTGTGACCTGTGACTAGTGGTAGGGAAGGATCTGGGGCAACTTCTGGAAGCATTTGCTGTAACCAGGCAAGTTGGTTTGCTGGCAGCTGTAGGGGTAGCACAGTAGGCTGGAGCTGTCCATCATTTCCTGAGCACCTTCCTAGTACCTGGCTCCTGGCTGGGCCCAGTAAAAAAGAGACAAAGGCCCTGTCCTTGGGAAGCTTCAGTGTAGGGACTACGTGCAAGGGTTTCATAACTCTTCCTATTTAATCATTTTTATCATGGGCAAGGATGTCTGGGAGGACACAGGAGTTGGGGTGGAGGGGTATTGGCTGGCATCGTGGGCCACCTACACCAATTGTTCTTCAGTGTGGGTCTCCCCAAAACCATAATGGCATGGGTTTGTTATCATTTAAAAATGTAATGGCCTAGTTTGGCTGGTGTAGCTCAGTGGTTGAGCGTCAGTCCATGCACTAAGAGATCGCCGGTTCAATTTCCAGTCAGGGCACAAATCCCCAGTGTGGGGCATGCAGGAGGTGGCCAACTGATGTTCTCTCTCATTGATGTTTCTCGCTCTCTCTCTAAAATCAATAAAGAAAAAAATAAAAAATAAAAATATAATGGCCTGAAGCCAAATGAGTGACTTGAACATAGCCACTGTGAGAAGCAAGACCCTCTTTTTTTAATCTCTTTATTTTAAATAATTTTAGATTTACAGAAAAGTTACGAAAATAGTACCGTTTCCATATCTCCCTTAGTTGACTTTTCATGTTAATGTCTTTTATAACCATAGTGCAGTTTTCATAACCAGAGAATTACCATTGATGCAGCACTAATAACAAAACCAATTTTCAACCACTGTTCTCATTCTGTGTCTCATTCTTTGCATCCAGTTGTCAGTTCCCCTCCTCCCATCCATGGCCTGGTCTTCCTTCATCTTCCATAACCCTGACACTTTCGTAATTACTTTGTCAAACGTCCCTTAATTTTGGTTTTGTCAGATGTTTTCTCATGATTTGGACTGAGTTTATGCAATCTTAGCAGGAACCGAAAAAATGGTGATATATCCTTCTTGAAGCCTTGTTTCTCGGGGTTTCTGATACTCATTGTTCATATTACTGGTGATACTGGTCTTGATCACTTGTTAGAGTGGCTTCTGCCAGATTTACCTTCTACAGCTACCATAGAGCTCTCATCTTGATGAAGCTAACAAGCTCAAAAACATGTTTTTGACAATTAAAGCTTCTTTGTAAAAAGATGAGACCTCATACCCCAGCAGTCCTTTCCTGTCATTCCTTCCTGTCCAACACCTAGCCTGGAGTTTGATTCTTGTCACTTGATTTTTGCAAACAAATTGATGGTGATCCAGGCTCTGGGCTTAACATATTAAGCTCTTCAGATTCTATAGGTTAGTTTGAATCTGAGAGTTGTGAAATTCAGATTTCTTTGCTCCTCTTTTCAGAATTCCTTCATCAGGATCTTTAATTTTAAAAAAGGAAAAAAAAAAAAATAGAAGCCCTCACTCACACAGAAGCAGCAGCTGTGGAAAGAAACTATGAAGGGGCCTTGGCAACACCAGTGTATCCCAGTGTTTCTCTGGCTCTTGTTTCTGCTAAGTCAGCTCCACACACTAAGCTTTGCTCTCTCTTCTCCCCAAGTGCCTCCATCCCCAGCGGTCCTGTGAGCAGCCCTGGGAGCATCCCTGCCACTGTGCCCGTGCAGATGCCAAAGTCCAGCAGGGTCCAGCAAGCCCTTGCAGGTAGGCATGCTGCTCTTGAGCTCTGGGGTCTGGGACAGACTGTGTCTGACAAGACTTGGAGGCAGTGGGAGGAGATTGTGGGGTTTTATCCTCTTATTATCCTCTGTGTTCTCTTGGAAACCCAGGGAGGCTCCTTTGGAGGGGGGGCAGTGCCTCTTGTCACTGATGGTGTACCCCTGGTGAGTGAGCCTGGGGTACCCCTCCTTCCTCTCTTAAGGATTGGGTGTCCTAGCGTGGACCTTTCCTTATCTTTAAATTTATTTTTTAATTTATTGAATTTTTTAGAGGGTGGGGAGACATCAGTTTGTCGCTCCACCCATTTATGCCTTCATTGGTTGATTCTTGTATGTGCTCTGACTGGGGATCAAACCTGCAACCTTGGCATATTGGGATGCTACTCTGATCATCTGCGCTACCCAGGTAGGGCACCATCTTTAAATTTTCACATCACCTTGAATTATGGTTCAGGAGTCAGTTTTCTGTCCTGAAATGCATTAGGCATTTCACTAAAGGGGCCCTCTGGGAAAGTTCAGAACTGTTTTGACTGGAGCGACATTATGAATAAGTGGCTTTTGTGTCTGGCTAGATCTTTTTTTAACCATACATCTTGGAACTGTTGTTTTTTTTTTAAGTTCTTTTTACAGGTGTTAGGAAGGCACTGAAAATAATTTTTTTTTTTTTTTTTTTTTTGGTACATGCCCCTAGCGGGACTCTCTGGTCTGCAGGCCAACGCTTCAAGCACTGAGCCAAACCAGCCAGGGCTATTTTTTATTTTTTAATTAAAAACATTTTTTTCTTGATTGATTTTAGAGAGAGGAAGGGAGAGGGAGAGAGACAGAAGCATCTATGAGAGAGAACATCGATTGGCCACCTCCTGCATGCTCCCCACTGGGGATTTGGCCCACAACCTGGGCATGTGCCCTGACTGGGAAATGAATCGGCGACCTCTTGGTGTGTGGGTTGACGCGCAACCACTGAGCCACACCAGCCAGGCTGAAAGTTATTTTTTAACTTGTGAGAAGTATAAAGTGTTATACAAAAGTATACTCAGTTTGGTGAACCTCCATCATTTAAAGGTCAAAGCAGCCCTGGCCAGTTTGGCTCAGCGGTTAGAGCGTCAGCCTGTGGTCCAAAGAGACCCGGATTCGGTTCCCGCTAAGGGCATGTACCTCGGTTGCAGTTTGTCCCCGGTCCTGGTTGGTCGTGCGGGTGACAGCCACTCTATGTGTCCCTTTCACATTGATGTTTCTTTCTCTCTCTCTCTTCCTCTCCCTCCCTCCCACTCTATCTGAACAAAAAAAATGGAAAAATGTCCTCGGGTGATGATAAAAATAAATAAATAAATAAATAAATAAAGAAAGAAAGGTCAAAGCAGGGGAATAAGATGAGTGCATGTGTTAGGTGAGTTGCTATGGTAGCACAGGGGTTTGGAGGAAACAGTCCTGGAGGTAGGGAGACCCTTGTGAAGCTTGACTTCATGTCTCAGGTAAGGCAGCCAAGACCTGACTAGTGCCATGGCAGTGGGATGGAGGTACAAGCTCCTGACTTGGTGATGGGTCTGGTTGTGAGAGAAGGGCTAGAATGAGGCCTGGTGTACAGCTGTTGATGACAGTGCTGTAATAAATCATTAGTGAGGATTAACTAGGAGCTTTGTATGTGAGTTGATTCACTTCATCCCAATCACAACTGTGAGGTGGAAACTTTATGCCCATTTTACACTTGAGGAAACGGAAACTCAGAAATTCCAAAACATCCCCAAATCAGTCAGCCTGTCCTTGAAGAGCTGGGATGCAGCCTCAAGCATTCTGTCCTCAGAATCTAGCCTCTTAACTGTTACTCTGTGCTGCTCCAGAGTCTGGTGGGAACTTTGGGAGAGGTGGGGGGGCAATGGCTATGTATAGACAGGGGGAACTGGCCTGGAGACAGTGGGAATTTGGATGTGCAGCTCTGACAAACAGTCTGGGATGCAGTGGGGTGGCCTTTGCCCCCACAACAGAGTGTGTGAGCTTACAGAGACCATGGTTGGGACATTGGGAAGAGAAGAGCCCTTGAAGGAAATGTAAGGACCAGTCATGGAGGTGATAGAAGATGGAAGAGTGGGGCTGAGAAAGCCCCAGAAGGGGAGACTCTGCTCTGCAGGGCCTCTGGTACCGGATTCAGCTGCTCAGCCTTTAACCCTCTGCCGAGGCAGAGAGAATGGTGAGCAAAGGTGGCGACTAAAAAGCTCCTGCCCACTTTAGAGCTTTTTTGGCATCAGATGTGACACCATAGATGAGTCAGACCTGTGTGTGTGTGTGCATGCGTGCGCGCGCACGCGTGAGTGCATGTGTGTGTTGGTGGTCTTGTTAGAGGAAGGTTGTGGGTAAACAGGCATGGCCCGCACATGACACATTCCATTCTGCACCATAGTCACTGAGGCTTTAACACACCTGTTGTAATAACTTCTAGAAGTGGTCTGGGTATTGAGGAGCTCTTGCTCCCTTTCTTCTGCTCTTGAGGCTGAGGACCCTCTCCAGACCAGGTGTCATATTGTCCTCTATTGGGTCTAGTGTTTTGGTCATAAGGCAGTTTTGCCATAAAAAAGAGGTAAAATAACTGGTTGACAGTTTTTTTGTTTGTTTTGGGTTGATTTGGTTTCTTTTTTGTTTGGTTGGTTTATTTCTCCATTGACAAAGGGGTGGAAAAAATACTTAAATAACTGTGGTGGTTAAAATAGTATTTCTTCCAGATGACAACGATTTGCCCCAAGTGATTGTTGGTTTCTTATTTTGAGACACACTGCATTGGGAAGAGAGAAAGAGTTGAACAAAGACAGGTGCTTAGGTACAGGCCACAAAATAAAATCAGATATTTTGCTATATTGCCATGAATTGGCACCCATTTTAAAAGTATTCAAATATTTTATATTTTGCAATATATATTTTTATTAAAAAATTTTTTTTTCTTTATTGATTTTAGAGAGAGAGGAAGGGAGAAGGAGGGAGAAATAGAAACATCTATGAGAGAGAACATCGATTGGCCACCTCCTGCATGCCCCCCACTGGGGATCGGGCCCACAATCTAGGCATGTGCCCTGACTGGGAATCAAACCGGCAACCTCTTGGTGTACAGGTTCACACTCAACCACTGAGCCACACCAGCCGGACTATATTTTTAATTTTGATACTCCTTTTTAATGTCCCTCTTTTGTCATGATTTTGTCTTTTTTTCTGGTGCGTGCCCCTAGCGGGAACCGAACCCGGGACTCTAGTCCACAGGCCAATGCTCCAACCACTGAGCCAAACTGGCCAGGGCCATGATTTTGTCTTTTTTACAATAAAATTGCCTTTTGGCCGATTAGTTATACAGCGAAATGTTTATGGCAAAAATGCTTGCAGCAAAAGTGCTATAGCAAAAGTACCTAGAACTGTTCTCACTGTCCTCCATTGCCTTGGCTCTCAGAGCAATCCTGGAGGTAGGTGGGTATTTTAATCTTCATTTTACTTACTGGGAAAACAGACCCTGAAGGTTCAGGAACTTGGCCCCAGCTAGAAAAGAGTAGACTGGAGCCTATGGCCAGATGCCACCTACCCTGAACACAAGCCTCTGGCTTATACCTTTTGGGGCCATTGTCTAGGGCACCAGGGAATAAGAGATCCCAGGCTAGCCTCAAAAGAAGCAGGGTCTGGCGAGTGTTCTCTTAGCTTAGGCTATGTTTATGGATTTGGGAATATGGATTTGGGCATGGCCGCAGTGAGGTGAGCATTTAGACATAAGGTTTTGCAGGTAGATTTACAAAAAAGTGGCCATGCTGTTGGACTGTGTAACCCTCTGCACTGATGAAGAATGTCCACACAGGAGCCACCTCCAGGTCAGGCCAGGAGTGCCTCAGGTGACAGCTTCACTGGCTACAGCATAGCCCAGACCTTTCTTTGGGATGAGGGGGGGTGATACTAGGGTTAGGTTCCCACCCTGGGAGAGAGGATGAGTATCTGCGTTTTATACTGCTGCAGCCTGCTTAAGACTAGTCAGCCAGGGAGGAGTGGTGCTGGGCTTGAACCCTGCTTGGCAAGGCCAGAACGGGAAGAGGACCTGAGCCCTGGTCACTAGACAGAAGACCAACCCTTGATATCAGAAAGGGGATGTTCACACATCTGCCTGTGTCGAGTACTGCAACCTCTGGGGGCTCTGGCAGATCAGACAAGCAGAGGAAAAGCTGTCGCTGTCTGAGCTGTTACAGTTATTTGGGAATGTTAGGACTTTGGGTGGCTGTCCTGAGCCCTTGCTGTTGGGGAAGATGTGATGGTCTGGTCTGGGTGTCCCCTGACCATCATGTCCACTGGATGCTGGACACTGCTTCAGTTCAGTGTTTGGTATGGGGTGATTTTCACAAGAAGGCAGACCTCTGCAAGCTTCTAAGTGGAGACCTGTGTCTACGACTTGAATTCAGGAGAATGGGTCCTGCCTTGAGAATGGCAGGAGTGTTGTTCCTGCTGGCCTCTGGGGAGCTGGTGACGGTGGCCCCAGGAGTGTTTTCATTCCCCAGCAGACAGATACTGTGCACCTCCTGTAACCTGGCCTCGCTCTTGGTGCTCATTGTAGAGAAAGACAGTCCATAAAACAGATAAATGAGTCCCCTCAGGTAGTAAAAATGCAAAGTAGAGTAAAGGAGACAGAGTTGGAGGGGGACGTGGCCCTTGTAGATAAGGTGGTCAGGGAAGAGCTGCCTGCTGAGGTGATGCTTGAGGAGAGGTCTGGTGGAAGTGAGGAAACTAGTTGCTGTTGGGGGAGGAGGTTATGGTCAATACAAAGGCCTAAGGTTCTCCTGAGCAATTGTTCTTATTCTCTCCATCTTTTTGTTCCCCTATGTCTGCTTGTCATTCAGTCTTCCTGACATTTAGTTCCCAAGGGAATCCACATTTGAGCCCATGAACGAACCTTGGGACGCTGGTTGCATTGCATTATCTGATGAGCAGGTGCACCGAGTCCAACTTTGTCTTCTGGTGTGTACTTTGAAGTCTCCTGCCGAGCAGCCACCGCAATATATCCTGTCTCAGCTGTGCTACCCAGGCTGCTGGCTGGCACTTGCTTCTTTTCCTGACTGGCATGTTTGCCATATTGAGAGCCTTTGTTCTTCTGGTAGATGCTGCAGTGGCTGGCCTGATGGATCCCAAGGCCCAGTGTCACCTCACCAGTCTGGATTGCCTCTGGAGTGGGCAGCTTTGTCTACCTGGCTTGGGTGGAGGTTGGGGCTCAGTATGACCAGGATCTCCACTTCCTACTCTAGGCTGAGTCCAGCTCCCTAGCCGGATTCTGAATGTCTTGAATGCCACACTCAGGGAGGTACCCAAGGAGAAGCCCAGGGCTGCCTTCAGGAGGAGTTGCTTTTGAGCCAGACTGAGGACAGGAGGGGTTAGGGAGGTGGTGCTGTGGACAACAGGGCAGGCTGAGAGGGTGGCAGGAATAGGAGCTCCAATAGGAGGACATGCTGTGTTCCAGGAAGTGTTGGGTCCTCAGGGAGTGCGAAGGGAGCGGTGTGGGGTGAGGGTCAGTTAGGATGTGGAGTGCCAGGCTGAGGAGTGAGGCCTCCCCTACAGGCTTTAGGAAGTGAAGGGCAGCCTGTTGCAGTTCCCTCCTGCTGTAGGCATGCCCACCCAGGGCGGAGGGGCTGTGGAAGCCTTGGCTGAGGGTGCCAGAGGAGGAAGCCATGGCCTGGGACTTTGCTGCCCCAGAGGAGCAACCACACAGGGCATGGGGCGCCTCAGCTGGTGAGCAGGCCCATGGGTCCGCATTCCTGCTTGCCCATTCCGGTGATGGCACTGAAGCTACCTGGATTGTCCAGATGGGATGTGGAAAGCAGACAGCACCCCACTGGAGGCAGTAACTGGGAGCCAAGCAGGATGTGCAGGGGGAACATGGGGAGGATTGTGAGCTTGAGAGCCCGTCCATGTTTCCATAGCTTGGCTGCACCCTTCCATGTTGCCCTTCTGTTCTTTCACCCTGTGCCTGGCATGAAGAGACACCACCTGGAACTGCTTAGGAGGCTTCCTGGGGTGGCATTTTGCCCTATGTCCTCCTGAAGCAAATGGCCTCACCTTCCTGCATGCTCGGGTGCAAGCCAAACAGCTGCTTGTATAGATACCTGTGGAACTTGGAGCCAGGACTCCGACGAGCCAGGCATCTCACTGGTTACTTGCCTGGATCTTCGCCCTGCCAGCCCGGGTAGGCCCTGGCAGCCTTGAGCCACCAGGTTCTTCAGGGAGACTGGAGGGTCCTGATGGCCATTCACAGTGCCACCTGGACTCGGGTGAGGTTTGTGGACATCACGTGCCAATTGACTCCTCCTAACGTTTCTCCCCCCTGCATGTCTGATCTCGCACCCCGTGTAGGCATGACGAGTGTTCTGATGTCAGCCATCGGACTCCCTGTGTGTCTTAGCCGCGCACCCCAGCCCGCCAGCCCTCCCGCCTCCTGTCTGGCCTCTAAAAGTCACAGCTCAGTTAAGAGATTGAGGAAAATGTCCATGAAAGGTAGTTTCTGCTCACAAATACTCTCTGGCCTCTGTTCAGCTGCCTCTGAGTCTTGCTGCCTCTGACTCTCCTGCATCAGTTGCTCTTCTCTGACTCCACAGCCCTTCTCCACTTCCTTCACCTGCTGGGGCATGGGCTCCAAGCCCTTCTCCCTGCCCTCGGCAGCAGAGGTGGCCCCTTGGGAATCTACTTTCCCCCGCAGTCCCACAGTTCAGTTCCTGTCTTCCTGGCACAGTTGGAGTTCAAGTGGCCTGTTTTTGAGGACTCTGTGACTTTGTAAACACAGGTGTGGTGTGAGGCCTGGTTTAGGATAAGGGACAACTCTGTCCATTCCACTGGGCCAGTGTGTGTCTCAGGAAAGGCCCCCAGCCCTGTCTGGCCCTCCTGGTGGGTCTGCTTCACAGGGGTCCTCTGATGACCACTGTTCTGCTCATTACCCCACTGGGGGGGAAGAAGTTTCAGAACCACAGAAGGTTCTATGAATTTTAACAAGACTTTTGTGGAAGGACCTGTAGGTAAGAAGTTCTAAACCTGGCATTTCTAAAGCTGATTGTGGCTCAGGCTCCATCGTGGGGCAAGAAAAACATGGACTGAAAGCCCAGTGATCTTTGGGACGATGTGGTGAGCAGGGAGCCCAGCCCTGGCTCAGACAGTCCAGGGTTTTTGTTTTGGCTCCAGCACTCATTAGCTTTGTGATCTCATGTAAGTGTCTCCTCCATTCATGAGCTGGTACCTCCTATTAGCAGATTGGCTGTGGAGGAGTAGAAAGTATGCACATGCAGCACCTGGCATGTAGTAAGAGTGGCTGCTCAGATCATGTCTACTGCCTGTCTAACCTGCACCCAAAGGGTAGATGAAGGCCCAGGGAGGGAACAAGGCCTTACCTACCAAGCCCCACCCCACCCTCATCTTCACCCCCAGCAATCTGGGCAGATGCGGAGATCCTGACTCAATTCCAGTTCTTACTCTGCCTTGGAGGTGCAGACAGGTCTGTGGGCAGGGGCAGGTCAGCAGCTTCCTGAGTCACTCAGGTTTGCCTTGAAAGAACACAGGTTCTCAGCATCAGTTGCTTTTCTCTGACTGCCCATTGGCAGACCTTCTGGCCTTCCTCGGCTCAGATGGCCTTTTCATGGAGTTGGAAGTCACCTGGCTGGCCCCCTTGGAGAAATGTGGCTCATGGAAAGCTACCTTCAGTTATGAAAGGCTGCTTGGGCCAGGGTGGGTGGGTGGGGGGAAGGGGATGCTGAGCTGGGCCTCACCAGAGGAGGGCCAGTGGCTAGTCGTGGTGCATGGCATCCTAAGCTCATCTGGAGACTGGCCTTTATCCACTAGGTTTTTCTAAGAGGCTCCTCCTCAAAATCTGAATAGAGTCCCTGATAACCAGGACACCACCCAGTGCTGGTGGTCATTGTGCTTTGGCCTGACTTTCTCACCACAGTTACCAGAGTCATGTCCTAGAAGTGTGTGTGTGTGTGTGGGTGTGTGGGTGTGTGGTGGGTGTTTGTTGGTATGGGTGTGCATGGAGGTGTAGAGTGTGATACTCTTTTACCTGTAGCTGCTTTTCTGTAATAACAGCTAATGCCTTTATAGCTGTCAGCTTTGGTTGGTATTAGGTTTCTACTTTTTAAATAAGGTAACTGAGACTCAGAGGTAACATGTTTTAGTCCCAGCACAAAAGCCAGACGTTGCTGGTCCCAGCCTCTCTGCTCCCCTCATAATATCACCTGGCCTCTGGTCTAGAGGGAGCTCAGCTTTGCAGCCACAGGCTGATGGCCATGAGCCTGGGTTCGAACTAGAGCTCTTTGGTCTTGGAGGCTAGGAGCTTCCCAGTGACCTTGAGGCAGGATGAGGAGGAGCCCTGCAGGGTTTCGTTCCCGGATTGCCCTGGTCTCCTTGGCCCCTCCTTTCTGTTCTTACACAGGCTTTGTTACCATCCTTTCTCTGATTCTGCCTCTGTCTGGACAAACCCCCTGGCTATACAGAATCCCTCTTGCTAGCTGGGGGAGTGTCTTGTCCTCGGGTGAGGCTGGTTGGTGCAGGGTCAGTGTTTATGTAGGTGCAGGGCTGCCCTCCCAGCTTCTTGCACATGTGCACAGAGTGAGAGGTTTTGAGAGAAGCGGTGGCCAAAGGCACCCTTCCTGCTGCATATCTTGGCTGCTTCCCAGAGTCACTTACCTTAGGAACCGAGTAGGTGTGTCACTAAGAAGCCACAATCCAGGGACAGGCTCGAGAAGACTTTGCAGCTTATTGTGGCAGTGGCAGTGTGGCCGTTGTCTACATTCAGCGTGTACACAGACACCCACACGTGGTAGGCACCCACTACATATGACTCATATAACTTTTTCTTACTGAGACTTTCTTATAAGAATAATGAAAGTGGAGTGAAATAACACTGTCAGCATGTGCTCCAGAGCAGTTTATTTTAGAGACTGCTATTTGACTCTTCCTCATGTCCTCCAAGGAGCCTGGGCCTGGTTTCCTGACCCAGTGTGCACAGGGACCTGAGGGCTGTGACAAGCTGTTGTGTCTTCTCTTCCTCTGCCTCCAGGGCTCCTGGGGCTGGGCCCCCTGTGTGTGGGCCTGCATAGGGCCCAGCCAAGCAGAGTGTTCTATGCCTGGCTCCAGGTCTCTCTTCTCTTGCATGCTAACGTTCTTGTCTTAGCCCCTCTTAACATCCCTCCTGGCAGCTTGGACTTCTCCCTTGTCTTCCTTTCTCTCTGGTTTCAGCGTCTCCAATTCATACTCCTTGGGACACCGATGATGTTCTCCTCTCTTCTAGGAGGGACTCCAAAGCCAGAGCCAGAGCCAGAGCAGGTGATAAGAAACTATACTGAAGAACTGAAAACAGCTCAGGATGAGGTAGGTGTCACAGGAGCCATGCTGCTTTTAGTTTTGTTTGGAAACAAGGGGCAATTCCCGACGAGAAGAACACCAACCTGGTCTCTGCTAGAAGGGCACCTCTGGATGCCGGCATCATGCTCTGAGCACTTGGGTTTAATCTCCCAGCCTCCTGTAGGAGACACATCTTACCAAGATGAGGCAGCTGTAGGTTTTAAAACATAAATTTCAATCTTAGCTTTGTCACAGACAAGTGTGATCCTGAGCAGAGCTCCTCTCTTGCACAGGCCTCTGTGTAGCCCCATGCCATCCTGGGGGTCAGGAGTCCTGGAGACACGGGGTGGGAGAGCTTGTCCCATTCCCCAAGGGCTGATGCTGGTGTAGAAGTCAGGTGGCCTTGTCCAGATGGCAGCCCTGACCCTCTAGCTATTGGGAGAGCAGGTCAGGGTTCCTGTAATTAACAGAGCCTGCCAGACTCCTGTAAAGCTTCAGTAGGACCCGAACCTCTCTCTGCTGAGCCATATTTTAGGGGCTACAAGTGCTACTTTTCTCTGATTTGAATGGAGAGTCCTGGAGAATCTGGAGGAGGTGGGCTAAATGTCAGTCCTTCCAGTACAGAATGGAGGACTCTTCACTGGCCTGTTTCTCCTGCAAGTCGAGTACATGAGAAACATCTGGTTGGTAAAGGTTTAGACAGAAACCTGAAATGCATCCTTGTGTCTCCTACCTCCCTCTGGCCCTCTCTGCAACCACCACAACACTCACTCTGTCTTTCTCTTTGCCCTTGTGCTCATCAGACACAACTAGGCTGCTTGGCCCCCAGCCTTCTCCTCTCCAAACTGCCTTCTATACACCCGACACATAGCTGTGATCATGGCAATATCCCCTGCTAAGAACCTGTCAGTGGGGCCCTGATGTAGAAGATGAAGCTCCAACTCCTGAGCATGATCAGAAGCTTTCAGGATCTGGTCCTGCCCTTTCTCATCTCATCTACACCCTGTTCACCCTGTGCCCTGCAGGTGCTACCGCCCCTCCCACACTAGATGCTGGTTCATGCTTCAGATCATTCTCTTCCCTCTGCCCGAACATCCTTTCCTGTGCTTGTCCATCTGACAAGTTCCTTTTTGCCTTGTAAACCCAGCTCGGAGGGCCTCTCCTGTTTTTTCTTCTGTCTGGCTCTTCCTGCTGCTGTGTTGTCCTCAGCTCCTGTTACTGCACTGGCCCCTGGGCTCAGTGCTGCCTGGCATGGTAACCCCTGAGGGCACAGATCCCAATGACTCATCTGTGTTCCCAGCCTCTGGAACAAATGACTGTTGAATTGACTTTGACGGTAACGCTGGCATTTCAGCAGATGAAGGCCTTTTCCTACAAGTTTCACCTCTGAGTGCAGTATCTCTTTTGGTGCATGTTCCCTATGTTTGGTCCCCCTCCAGGACTGCATCATCTGTATGGAGAAACTGTCCATGGTGTCTGGGTACAGTGATGTGACCAACAGCAAGAGCATCGGGCCAGTGGCTGTGGGCCGCCTCACCAAATGTAGCCATGCCTTCCACCTGCTCTGCCTGCTGGCCATGTACTGCAATGGGAACAAGGTGCCTACATACTGACCCAGGGCAGGGGCTGGGGGCAACCTGTCCCAGTCATCTGAGCAGGTGACTGTAGCTGCCTTGTGAAGGACCTGGGATGTGCTTGGAGGCAGTCCCTGCCCTGCAGCAAGATGGGGCTGAGGGCTGGGGGGTGGCAGGTCTGGCTGTGCTTCCTTCAGTGGAGTTTAGCCAAACCTGACAGAGGTTGGGAGGATGGAGAAAACTGAGTCCTGTGGCAGACCTTCAGGCTCAGTTGGCCTTTCTCTTCAGTGTCCATGTGTATCCTGTACCAGCTAGGGTACACCAACAATTGATCAGTCACAGGGTTTCCTGTTTGATTTGAAATGTGATTAGACTGTGGGGACTTTTTCTCGTAAACCTGACTTTTCTACCTGATGCCAGTCTCCTGGTACTTTCCCCCTTTAATGGAAATTATATAAGAGTTTCTGGTACAAAACTTATCTTTCTAAGGAAGCTGTTGAAATTAAGTTTCTGTGTGAGGATGCTGCCTGGGAGTTAGGCCATCTGCCCAGAACCCAGTGTGTAACAGCAGCCGACCTGTCCTCCTACAGGCCTCCTTCCCATCTAGATGGCGGGGGGCTGTGGCGAGGTGCTGTCTCAGGGCTGCCAGCTCAGTGTGTGGCATTCTGCCTTGTCTCAGGATGGAAGTTTACAGTGTCCTTCCTGCAAAACCATCTATGGAGAGAAAACTGGGACCCAGCCTCGGGGGAAGATGGAGGTGTTCAGCTTCCACGTGTCCCTCCCTGGCCATGAGGACTGCGGGACAATACTCATAGTTTACAACATTCCCCATGGCATTCAGGTAAGAGCGCCCTGGCACAAGAGGAGCCTCCTTGGGTCTTTCTGGAATCAGCCCCTGAACCAGCAGGCGCTAGTGCTGGGTGTTACAATAAGCTCTTAGGGCTGTGAAAGCAAAGAGATAGTCCTCAGCCCTTTCCTAGATAAGGAAGGCTTCCTGGAGGTGGAGACATCTTAGCTGGATTTGTACTGGGAAGAAGGCCAAGTGTATAAGCAGGTAAACACTTGTGTTGAGGGGTAGGAACCCTCTTGGGGGCATAAGATGGGGCTGGGAGATGCTAGCAGTGAAGACTGATGGAGAGGCCAGCTCAGTGGCCAGATCAGGCTGAGTTGGGAGTGACAGGGCTGGGTCTGGATGTTAAGAACAAGACGAGGATCTTGGCAGAAGGTCCCAGGATCCCAGTGGAGACTCAGACAGGAGCATTGGACACTTAGGCCTCTTTCCTTGGGCCAGGGTTGATCTCAGAGCCTGGGGCAGTTTGGGAAGATACAGCACAGTGGGGACCAGGAGCCCAGTAGTGCCCATCTGCCACAGATGGGGCATCCCTCTGTTTTATTTTTATCCTTACCCGAGGACATTTTTTTTTTTCTTTCCATTTTTTGTTCAGGTAGAGTGGGAGGGAGAGAGAGGAACAGAGAGAGAGAGAGAAACATCGATGTGAAGGGACACATCGAGTGGCTGCCACCCGCACAACCGACCAGGGCCCGGGACAAACTGCAACCGAGGTACATGCCCTTAGCGGGAACCGAACCCGGGTCTCTCAGGACCGCAGGCCGACGCTCTAACCGCTGAACCAAACCGGCCAGGGCTACATCCCTCTGTTTTGATTAATCATGTTCTCTTCCCTGATTTCCTTCTACTTTTCCTTGGCTCAGAGTGAAATTTTAAAACATTCTAGACAGGGTTGAAACCATAGGCCCAGAGGGAAACTTGGAGCTGTACGTGGCATGTTACTGTGACAAAGGGTAGTTCCAGCCCCCACCCCTGTCCAGACCACTGCCACTGTCTCAGGGCCCTGCTCCAGCCACTTCTAGGGCGAAGAATGGAGGGGCCTATGTGCTAGAGTGAGGGTGTCCTGAAGGCTGGCAGACCTGCCATCCAGTCCAGGGAGCCCAGTTCCTAGAGGATCGCTGAAGGAAGTAGGAGCCTCCGTCCTGGCCTTAGGATTCTGGTCTTATCAGGGAAATAGAGAAAGTTAGTAGGAGTGTCTGATACCAGGTGGAGTGGCACACATTCAGAGATGGCAGCCCTGTTCATGTTGGGTCTTTTAAGGGCAGGATTTGAGACAGCCATTTATTTGTCCACTTGAGTTCAGTAATAGCCCCGACTAGGAGGGCAAAAGGGCGAGGCTGGACCTCCATGTTCTGTAGCTGGTGAGCCCCTCTTGGAGCACCACGACTCCTTTGTCTGTCTTTCTCCTACAGGGCCCTGAGCACCCCAACCCCGGGAAGCCATTCACTGCCAGAGGGTTTCCCCGCCAGTGCTACCTTCCAGACAATGCCCAGGGCCGCAAGGTAAAGGCCCCACCGCCACCCTTGGGTAGGGGGCCCCTGCTTTCAGGCCTGTGCCCAACTGCTGGTTCCAGTGCAAGGCCACTCCTTCCCAGGACCCCGCTGGGGGTCAGGCATCCTCAAGGTGCCGGGGAGAGATGGTAACTTTACTGGGGCTCAATGTGGGAGGATGGACTGTCTTCTAGCAGCCTTGTGGCCCAGGTTGTATTTCTGCATTGAGATCTGAGGTGGGACTTCCTTGCTCGCGACAGAGCATTCTAGGCAGACAGAACAGCTAGGGTGACAGCTTTGAGATGGGAACAGGCTTAGAAGATGTGAAGAGCCTGAAGGAGGACCAAGTGGGTGAAGGTGGGTCAGTGCCCTCCAGGCCAGCCGCAGGAGTGGTGGGCCTTTAGTCTAAGCACTGCGTGAGGCGAAGCCATGAGGTGAGGGCATGTTGGCAGAGGACTAAGAGCTGCAGATTTTAGGTTTGAGAAGGCTCCCTCTGGTGCTATGAGAGGACAGACTCCAGGTGGCCGAGCGTGGAGAGCAGTAGGAATGGGAGAGAGCAGGGAGGCCTGGATTCAGTGAGGAGGAACAGAAGAGAGGTCATCCAAGATGTACTTGGAAGTAGGAAATAATCTGCATATTTAGGGGCTGAGTAGATGGTAGTACTGTCTGAAGTGGAAGGGCCGGCCATGGGGTGGCGCCAAGACTTGAATCATGGAGGTGCCCAGTGTGAGGTCCTGTTGGACTGTCAGATCAGCATTTGCCATTCCAGGGGGGTCAAGGCTAGAACTAGAGAGTGGGGATCCCCACAGATGGGGTTTCATGCCACAAGACTGTGGATGATATCACATAGGACACAGTGGAATGGAATGGAGAAGAGAAAGGGCCCAGCTCCCAGCGGCCCTGCTGGTGGTTAACGGTACATGTTGAATGGACCAATGGCATACCACATGGTACTCCACAACCCACATCTGACATTGGGGGATGGTTGGTGATGCTGACTTCATCCTTATCACTGGGGCAAATTAGGAGAGGGTAGTGGATGTTCATACCCTATCACCTGGCCACCCTGCCCCGGGATGAAAAATTTTGTGAAAACACAGGCCAGAGCTTGTTCACCCTTCCTTCTTCCCTCACCTCCTCTTCCTTCTGTTCCTCCTCCCTGGGGCAGGTCCTAGAGCTGCTGAAGGTGGCCTGGAAGAGGCGACTTATCTTCACAGTGGGAACATCCAGCACCACAGGCGAGACTGACACGGTAGTGTGGAACGAGATCCACCACAAGACAGAGATGGACCGCAATGTGACAGGCCATGGCTACCCTGACCCCAACTACCTGCAGAATGTGCTCGCTGAGCTGGCCGCTCAGGGAGTGACTGAGGACTGCCTGGAGCAACAGTGACCCACCAGCCTGCAGCCGGCCACCCCATTCCCACTGCCAGCTGGTCTGCCCCTGGGATGGACAGACAGGAATGTTCCTTTCCTCAGAGGCTGAGGTGTTTGTTGGGGTTCTGGACATTTTCCACCAAAGCTGGGGCTTTGGTTCTGCATGGGAATTGGGCAAACCTGGGGAGTTGTACTTGGGGAGGGGCTTAAGATGCAGCTACCTCAGTGCTGGGGTCCTGGCATGGGGTGAGGAGAGACTGCCCCATCCCCAGCCAGGGACAAGATTGGGTCTGGGTCAGCTTCTCATACCTCAGATGTTCTGTTTGCAATAAATGCCCAATAGCCAAAGGCAACAGGTCCCTGTTGTGTTCGTCAGTGGAAAGGCTGTGTGTGTATGATGTATGAAGACTAGCGCATACTTGTCCTGCTGTATCAAAGCAGGAGGGGACCTTACGGGCTGCCCATTCAACTCTGATTTCCTAAATGAAGAAAATGAGGCTGCAGTGAGGGCCAGAGAGCCCATGGCACTGACCTGTGCTGCTTTCCCATCCCCCACTCCAGTTCTTGCACCATGGAGTTCAGTAACTCAGGGCCCACCATCCATTACTTTCCCAGGTCCTGGCTAGTGGTAGAGCCAGAGCTGGGATCTGGGTCAGGATTGGTCTGATACCATTCTCAAAGTTCTAATTCTTTTGGACCCTCTCAGAAGGAGGATCAAATACTCCCAGACTTACTGTCTACCAGGGTTGGGGGATAAGGGAGGGTAGTGCTTGTGGCCTGAGACCGGAGGGACACACAGGGCCTCATTTGAAGTAGGACTGGGGCACTTTAGTCTTGTCTTTTTTTTTTAATTTTATTTTTGTTACAGACATTTCTCCTTTTTCCCCCATTGACATCCTCCTCCTCACTCCCATTCCCCCCACCCCTCACAGTATTGTTTTCTGTATCCATTGGTTATGTATATATGCATATCAGTTCTTTGGTTTATCTCTTCCTGCCCTCCTACCCCCTCTCCCTCTGAGGTTTGTCAGTCTGTTCCCTACTTCCATATCTCCAGATCCCTCCATGTCATCTCAAAGGGTAAGATATCTTTCTTTCTTACAGCTGTATATTCCATTGTGTATATGTACCACAGCTTTTTTTATCCACTCATCTATTGGTGGACACTTGGGCTGTTTCCAGATCTTAGCTGTTGTAAATAGTGCTGCTATGAACATAAGGGTGCACATACTCTTCCCAATTGGTGTTTCAGGCTTCTTAGGATATATTCCTAGCAGTGGGATCACTGGGTCAAATAACAGTTAAATTTTTGTTTGGTTTTCCATAGTGGCTGCACCAGTCTGCATTCCCACCAGCAGTATACTAGAGTCCCCTTTTTCCACACCCTCACCAACACTTGTTTGATGATTTGTTGATGGCGGCCATTCTGGCAGGTGTGAGGTGATACCTCATAGTCTTTTTCATTTGTGTCTGATGGTAAGCGACATTGAGCATTTTTTCATGTTTCTTGGCATTTTTGTCTTTTCAAGCCCCTTCCTCCATAAGAAAAAAAGTTAGCCCTGGCCAGGTGGCTCAGTTGGTTGGAGCATTATCCCATACACCAAAAGATTGTGGGTTCAGTTCCTGGTCAGGGCACATATCTAGGTTTTGGGTTCGATCCCCAGTTGGGGCATGTATGGGAGGCAACCACTTGATGTTTCTCTCTTCCTCTCTCTCTAAAATCAATAAAAACATGTCCACGAATGAGGATTAAAAAAGGAAGAAAAGTTAAATTCTACTTCATGATGTGTTGGTATAAAGATGAATATATGTTAGAGCATTTTTCTCCATCTAGAAGTTTATTTTTTTCTTCTGATTTTAAAAGTCTGAAATTAAGACTGCCCTGGCCAGTTTTGCTCAGTGATTAGAGCATCAGCCCGTGGACTGGAGAGTCCTGGGTTCGGTTCCCACTAGGGTCACGTACCTTGGTTGCAGTTTGTCCCCGGCCACGGTTGGGGTCGTGTGGGTGGCGACCGCTCAATGTGTTTCGCTCATGCGGATGTTTCTCTTTTTCCCTCTATCCCTCCTGCTCTATCTGAAGATGAATGCAAAAATGTCCTCAGGTGAGAATAAAAAAACGAACGAAATTAAGACTTTGCCTGGGCTCCTAAAAGTTTTGTGGGCCCTGAGCACTGCCCACTGAGCCTCATGGGAAACTGGTCCTGGGAAGGATGGGAGGCCTGGCTGGACCTCCAACCTGTTTGGCTCCATGGTGAGATCTGCTCTACTGGCTCACAGGGCACCGGAGTTAGATGGGCGCCTGAGTGCTGCTGACTCCACCATTAAAGTACAGTGAGAACCAGAATGGAAGAAAGTGTGTGCAAATTATCTACCTCATAAGGGTCTAGTATCCAGACTATATTAGGAACCCAACAACTCAACAATAAAAAGATGGCTGACAGGCACATGAAAAATGTTTAACGTCATCAGGGAAATGCAAATCAAAACCACAAAGTGATAACCACTGCATACCCATGAGTATAGTTATAAAAAAAAGAAAATAGCAAATGTTGATGAGGATGTGGAGAAATTGGAGCCCTTGTCTGCTGCTGGTAGGGCTGTAAAATGCAGCTGCTTTGGAGAACAGTTGGGCAGTTCCTCAAAAAGTGGTTACCATATGACTAAGCAGTTCCACTCCTAGGTTCATGTCCAAGAACTGAAAACATGTCCACACCAAAACGTGTTCATGACTGTTCCTAGCAGCATTATTCGTAACAGCCAAAAAGTGGGAAAAACCCAACCATCCATCAGCTGACGAATAGCTAAACAAAATGTGGTCTGTCCATACAATGGAATAATTTTCAGCCATAAAAATGAAGTACTGACATACTGCAATGTGGAATAACCTTGAAAACATGTCAAGTGCAAGAAGCCAGACATGAAGGCCACATACGGTGTAAGTCCATCTATGTGAATAGGCAGATCCACAGGGGCAGAAAGGAGATGCGTGGTTCCAGGGGAGGAGTGACTGTTTTTATGGGTACTATTTCCTCTTGGGGAGTTGAAAAGGTTCTGGAATTAGAGTTGATTGTACAACCCGGTGAATATACTAAAAACCAGTTAACTGTACACTTTAAAATGTTGCATTTTATAATATGTGAATTATACCTTAGTTTAAAAATATATTTTTTATATATATACTTATGTATATATTATATATATATGGTGGAGCAAAAGTAGGTTTACAGTTGTGAGCACATGAAGCAGATTTTCTTGTATTATTATTTATTAATTATTGACAAACAACTGTAAATCTACTTTTGCCCCATATATATATAGTGAGAACCAAAGGGAGTAGGGGGGGTTGTCAGCTGTCAAGAGCTCTGAGTTCTTCCTTTGGACAAGGGAACTGAAGAACCAGGGAGGATGTGGCCTTGAGGAGGTGGGGCAGGGCATAAGATGGCAGCAGGGCCAGGTGGGCTTTGATGGGGCTGGAGCTGGACAGGTGGGGTGTCATGATGAGGCTGGAGCTGGATAAGTTGGAGCTGCTCCAGACTTGCTTCTGGGTGGGGATGGCCCAGGCTTGCTCCTGGGTGGGGATGGAAGGCCAGAGGGTATCTCCTGGCACCTGGGGTGCAGGAATCTCAGGCATGTGGCCCTGAGCCCAATGTTCCAGAGATTGGCCCTCCTCTCCAGGGTTGGGAGGCTGGCAGGCTGGCAGGCTGGCAGGCTGGGTGGGGCCTAAATTCAGACATGGACTCCTCTCCCTCAGGCCTGGTCTGCCCCACACTAGTGCCCTGCCCAGGCCCCTCCCCATGGGGGGCTGGGCTCGGGAGGGGTTGGGGTGCATTCACATTTTCAGGTCTTTCCAGCCCTTGGCCAGCCTGGCAGCCTGACTAACCAGCTCCTCCAGGCCCAAGGTGTTGGGGGGAAGGGTGCAGCAGGAGGTAGCCAGACCAGCCCCAGGCTGTGGATGTGGTAGAAGGTGGCTGTCATGGGGCTCCCCCAGAGGCCTCCTCACCCATGGCTGCTGTTCCTCTTGGTGGCGCTGGTCTGGCCCCAGCCCTGCATGAGCCTGGGTGAGTGGGGATCCAGGGATTGGATGCACCTGGCCAGACCCAAGGGGCTGGGGCACTTGCCGGAGTGATTGGACCCTGGGAGCCCACATCCTCTCATTGGGAGAGGCAGCTCCAGGGGCCCCAGGACCCTCACACCTATCTCCATGGCCACAGAGCTGATCCCCTACACGCCGCAGATAACAGCCTGGGACCTGGAAGGGAAGGTGACGGCCACCACGTTCTCCTTGGAGCAGCCGCGCTGTGTGCTGGACGGTCATGCCAGTGCTGTCAACACTGTCTGGCTGGTGGTGGCCTTTAGCAACGGTGTGTCACAGTGCAGGTGTGGGGTCTGAGGTGAGGGGTGGGGTCGAGGAGAGCTGCAGGGTCTGGGAGCTCCTCGCTGTGACCTTTGACAACTGGGCATGGATTGGGAGTTGGGCTTTATGGGGAGAGGGCTCTGAGGGGGTGACAAACCCTGCTTTGCGTCTGTCATAGAGGCCCTCTGGGTGCTGAGAGTTCAGGGCCAGGGATTGTGGCAAGGAAGGCCTGGCTTCACCTGCCCACCAGCCCCATCTGTCTGTCCCTTCCTCCCGCAGCCTCCAGGGACTTCCAGAACCCGAACACACTGGCTGAGATCCCAGCTTTCCCACAGCTGCTGACTGATGGTCACTACATGACACTGCCCCTGTCCCTGGACCAGCTGCCCTGCGAGGATCCCGTGGGTGGCAGCCGCATTCCTGTGCTGCGGGTGGGCAATGACCCTGACTGCCTGGCTGGCCTCCACCAGCCATCTTCCTGCAACGCCCCCCTCCCCGGTCCTGGACCTTACAGGTGGGTCCCAGCCTGGAGCCTGGGATGGAGGCTGTGCTGGAAGAGGAGGGGTTTCAGGGACCAGGTGGCCCACCCTAGCCTTCCCCCAGGTCCCATCCTGGCTGCAGGCCTAAGCAGGCCCTTCCCATCCAAAAGCCTTGGCTTCTTCCTCTGGAGTGAGGGTGGGGGAGAACAGCACTCATTACAGCTGGGGGGCTGGTAGAATTCGACCTTTCCAGGGGGCCCAGGAGAAAGGTGGCACCACAGAGCTGGTGGGGGTGGGATGGGTCTACAGGGCTGCAGTCACGGGCCCACTCTTTCTCCCACGGGTAGATCTGGTGGGAAACTAAGCCCAGGGCTGAGTTCAGATCCAGCCAGTGGGTGTGAGGTGGGGAAACAAGAGAAGACTACTACCCACTTTCACAGGCAAAGTAACAGAGGCACAAAAGCTCCAAGTGGCTTGTAGAGGTCACGTTAGAGCCGGGGTCGGAAAGCAGGTGTCCTGACCAGGGATGCCCGGGCCACAGGATGAGGCCATGCGTCCTCAGGGGGGCCAAGTCCAGCTGGGAGAACCAGCAGGGGTGCAGGGAAGGTGGTGTGCCTGGCCAGCACCTCCATCCACCGCCTCCCTCTGCCCTCTCACCCAGCCCTGCCGGGTCCACTCCCCACCCCCCAGGCCCACTCCCTAGCAGCCACCAGAGCCTGCTTCCGTCAGTGCCAGCCTGCCTGCGTCTCTTGCAGCCCAGAAACCTTCCAGAGCTCCCAGCCCCCGCCCCAAAGATACAGCCTGAGCTCTTCTGCATGACCCTTGGAGCCCTCAGTGCCAGCCTGCCCCTTCCCTGTGATCCTGGACTCTGTGCCCTGAATACACCCCTTCTTAGGCCTTTACCTGGTGTGCTTTCCCCTACTGGGGGCCTTCCATGGCTTCAAAGCCTCCACAGGGCCAGCAGTTCTCCTCTGGAGCCCTGGAGCCCCAGCCCATACCTCCCGTCGAGCCAAGGTCACAGCCTGGCCCAGAAGAGCTGCTGGAGTCTGGCTGCAGCGGGAGCCCTGCCTGCCAAGGCAGTTGAGGCTCTGAGCCTCATCCCTTCTCCTCTCCCCAGGGTGAAGTTCCTCCTGATGGACGCCAGGGGCTCACCTCAGGCTGAGACCAGATGGTCTGACCCCATCGCTCTGCATCAAGGTAGCACTGGGGAGGGGGCATTCTTGGCTCCAGTCTGTCCCTTGCGGACTTACCACCCTCTGCAAAATGGTCATGCTCGGCTGCCCCCACACCCACCACTGCCATGGGACTGGGGGCCTGGTAGCAGTGTCCAAATCCAGCTGACCCTCCACACAGAAACTGGTGCAAGGGGGTGGAGCATGTGGCAGAGGCCCTGGCTCTGTCCATCCCCAAATGTTTGCCAACTCCTGGGTGCCCAGGCCCAACTCAGTTATGGGCAGAAACAGCCTTCCCCTCTATGGGGAGCCAGCCTGGGGCCCAGCACTGCTGGGTGGAGAAGCTGAGCCAAAGCTAGGAGGGCCACAGGTGCTGGGAGGCTTCCCTCAGCAGGGCCCCAAGAAGCCAGCATGAGTCTCCAGGCCAAGGAGACTGCCTATGTGAAGACCAGAATGTCTGGTGTGGGGGACGCCTGGAGATGGGCTGTAAAGGCCAGGGATGGGATGGGGATGGGGCTTGTCTGAAGGCCTTGTATGCCAGGCTCCAAGGAAGCAGGGCAGCCACATAGTCCCGAGGTCTGTCGCCGCTCTGCCTGCCATGGGTGTGCCAGCCACGAGCACATTGGTGGGAACAGCCTAGAAGGTGAGACCAGGGTAGAAGCTGGAGCAATGGGTGGTCCAGGCTACAGGGCACAGATGCCCATCTGAGATGGACAGATGGGTGGGCTCAGGAGACAAGAGACAGCCTGGCCCTAAGTATGAGCATGGGTGGAGGGTGACTGCCCTGGGGTTCAGGGGCAGCCTCTGAGCAGCCACTGTGTGTGCAGGGAAGTCCCCAGGCTCCATCGACACGTGGCCAGGACGACGAAGTGGTGACATGATCGTCATCACCTCCATCCTCTCCTCTCTGGCCGGCCTCCTGCTCCTGGCTTTCCTGGCAGCCTCCACTGTGCGCTTGTGAGTGGTGACACCGGGAACCCCTTCCCTTTCCCTGAGCCCTGAGCCTGGAAGGCCTCCCTGACCCTGCGGTTTTGAGCTAGGAAGTGTCCCTGGAAGGGCTATGCGGAGACTTTCCACCCTGAGTGTCTCTCCCCTAGGAGGTCAGAGAGGTGGTCCAGCGGCTCCTCTGACCACAGGTTCAGAATAGAGGCCACCTCACTCTGCCCCTGTCCCTTAGTGTGTCCTTTGCTTTGGCCCTTGTTCTTCTGGGCCTTGTTTTCTCTACTGTGAGCTCCTCTATCATTTTGGTGAACGGACATTAGGGTAATCAGTGCGGCCACCTGGAGGAGGCAGGCCCCCAGCTCGTTTCAGAAGGGAGGAAGAGGAGTGCAGGAGAGGGGTGTGGGAGTGGGAAGGAGGCCCTGACATGGCAGCCAGCTTCACCCGGCAGTGATACAGCTCCTCCTCTCCCTGTCCAGCTCCAGCCTATGGTGGCCTGAGGAGGCCCCTGAGCAGCCTCGAATTGGCTCCTTCATGGGCAAGCGCTACATGACCCACCACATCCCTCCCAGTGAAGCAGCCACCCTGCCAGTGGGCTGCGAGCCTGTCTTGGACCCCCTTCCCAGCCTCAGTGCCTAGCCTGGCCTGTGCCTGGGGCTGGGGCAGTGGGGTGGGGGTGGGGGTGGGGAGGGACATGGGTATAGTGCTCCTTCTCAGCCCTTGAACCCACATGCCCTTCCCCAATCACACCTCCCCCCTGCCACTAGCAGCCCATCGCCTACCTACCCCCCCCCCCACCCCAGGCAACTGAAGCTGCATGCAGGGAAGTTTGGGCAAAGGCTATTATCAGGCTGGGCATCCAGCCCCCCACCTCCATCCCTACCTCTGTTCTGCCTATCCTCCTGCGAGTGAGGCTGGAGGTAATGTGGAGAGGACACCCTGACTGGAAACTTCCAGGCCCCAGGAGGAAGGAGGCCTACCAGAGACCTTGCTCTGTCCCGTGCAGGGAGCTGAACTGGGCCCATCATTGCGCCTGTGGGGCCTGAGCCTCCGCTGTCTCTGTCCCACCTGCCAGTGTCTGGGCTGCAGTGAAGTCTTCACTGTCCCTGGGCACAGGCCCTCCTAAGGGTGGCTAGAAGGTCAGAGTGTAGATGAACTGATTTGAGTCACCACTTCCAACCCCCTTGCACACACAGAGGGCTCATGCACTTCCCTACTCACTCTCACTCCACAAACATTTGTTGCGTGCTTGCTGCATGCTATGCACAGTGTTAGACGGGGCCTCAGGCAAATCTTGGGGAGCTCACATGTCCAGATGCGACCTGTTACTGTTGGGAGGCTGTCACGCTCTCAGATTGTCAGATACCTTCGGACTCACACTCCCTCAGACAATCACCCAATGGGCTCTTTGGGTCCATAACCACCCCTCACTGGAGGACAGTCTTCATTCACCCAGAATCCCTGGAGGACAGTCTTCATTCACCCAGCATCCGGTTCCTCACAACGCTGGTGGTACCCGCCGTGGCCACAGGAGGGCGCCAGTGTACCGCAGCAGTTGCCGCGCAGCCCCGCATGCGCACTCCTGCTCACAGGCCAGCCGGGCGCTGCCGGGTGATGGGCTCCCGGCAGCACTCAGCAGGGTCTCTGGAAGTCATGACTCCAGGCCCCACCTCAACCAAGCCAAAGGGATGAACAGTCAAGCTCCCCTTGAGGGCCCACTGCATGCCTCCCAGTCCACACAGCCCCCACCATTTTCTAAATGGAGAAACTGGGGCTCAGTGACCTGCCCAATGTGCTCTGTCCACTGCCATGCCACCCCACCCTGTGTCCCCTGGCCAGTCTAGCCTGACTGCAATGCCCTGCGGTGGCCTGCTGGCAGGGGTACCCTTTCTTCGGAGGTGAATAAATGCTGTCTGGCTTTTCCATCTGAGTGGTGTCTGTGCTGGTTTCAGAAGAACATTTACACGTGGGGGTCCAGCCTGGCATTGTTCTGTACAGTCCCCCCACCCCAACCCCCGCCACCAGCCTCAGTGCTGCCCTGAGTCTGTCCCCTGGATTGCTAGTCCTAACTGTATGTTAGGGGTGCCCCCATCTCCTGACGGGCCCCAGGAAAGCCCAGCCATGTACTGCAGGGCCAGAAAGCCAGCTGCTAACAGTTTATGTGGCTTTAGTAGTGCTCCCTCCCAAACACTTCAGGGGAGCCTTTGCTTTTAAAACCCGGGCGCTCCTGTTTCCTGGTGGTCTTTCCCCTATCCTGCCTGCACCCCACCAGCCACACTACCCCCTCCAGCTACAGACAGAAGCAGAGTCAAATGCAGCCAGGGGCTTAGGCCCTGGTGTCCTAGGTAACATCTGTTCGTGGAGCCAGCCCCTTTGGGCAGCCACCTTTGAAATTCTACTACTTTGGAGCCCAGGTCCCTCTTGACTTCTTGGAATAGGCGGAGGGTTAAAAGCGCCCCCACCTCACCCTCACCAGCTACCCCTAGCAGAGTCTGACTCACTGTCCTGTTCAGACCTGGTTCCAACACCAGATGAAGAGGCCCTCGAGGCCCAGGAGGCCCAGTTGGGGCCTGCCAAGGAGGGTACGGTGGGGAGAAAGAGGGTTCTGCTGGTGTTTGCTGAGTGGAAACATGAATGAACCCCACAGGGCAGAAGGATTAGCCAGGAGCAGGAATCGCTCCAGGCTCTTCCAGGTCTCAGGGCCTTCTTTGACCTGTTCTTAGTGCCAGACCCTGTGCTGATCCCAGGCACAGCCCCATAACATGCTCTGCTACCCTTTGTTTTTTGTTTTTTTTATCCTCACCAGAGGACATGTTACCATTTTTTGTTCAGATAGAGAGGGAGGGAGAGAGAGGGGGGAACATCGATGTGAAAGGGACACATCAAGTGGCTGCCTCCCACACAACCCAACCAGGGCCGGGGACAAACTGCAACCGAGATATGTGCCCTTAGCGGGAACCGAACCAGGGTCTTTCTGGACCGTGGACTGATGCTCTAACTGCCGAGCCAAACCGGCCAGGGCCACCCTTTGTTTCTGAACAGCCTCCCACCCAGCCCTCTGAGGAGCTGCTCTCACCCCATTTGGCTGCCCAGGGCTTGAGCATAGAGACAGGCTCTCAACAGACATTGCAACACATGGGTGAAGACAGAAGAGGCTGGAGAGCCCAGAGGAGGTAGCGGACCCACCTGAGAGTCAGGGAGGCTTCCTAGTTGTGATTTCTGAGCTGAGTCTTGAGAAGCAAATGGAAGTTAGTCAAGTAGAGAGAAAAGGAGGGAGGGAGGAGACCATCTTGCCCTATGGTGGCATAGATGGTGCCCGGGGTAGGGGTCAGCAGGAACTGGGGGCTGGGAGGCCAATGAAAGAGTTTGGCCTGTTCTTCTAGGCAGATGAAACAAGCCCTGAACCAAGGTAGACAAGGGGGATTGGAGAGAAAGAGGTGAATTCTAGAAATCTCCAGGGTGGGTGGGAGGAACTGGGAACTTCTTAGATGTGGGAGGTGAGGCAGAAGGAGGATGTGAGGATGGGTATGAATGCAAAGTGGAGGCGCTTTCTGTTCTGAGGGTGATTATATCACCCCAGCTTGCTTCAACAGACCCCAGAAAAGGGTGTACCGGGACATCGTCTTCGCAGCTGGGCGAGTCCACAAGCACATCAGCAAACTGAATATTTTACACAACGGAAGCCTACCCTGGTCAGCAGGGGCCACCCTGTGAGCCCAAATGACTGTGGGTGTTCTGCCCCAGGGTCCTGCTGGCAAGCATGCCAGGGTGTCACAGAATCCAGACCATGAGGGGCAGCAGGATAGGTCATCGCCCAGCAGGAGCACTGTCATGCTGAGCCCCGGGCAGCTGTGCTAGGCACTCTGCCCCAGAGTCATGCTCCAGAGGGCCATCAGCTGAACCCAGCCCTAAAACAGAGCACACAGTGACCGCATATTGTGGAGAATCTTTTATTAAATGGCATTTAAAAGTTTTCCCCAGGGCTGTATTTGGGGAAGCGTCTCCAAATCCACTGGCCCATAACATAATGGCTCAGTGGTTAAAAACAAGTTCATTGTTAAAAAGGAAAAAACAGCAATGATTGTGGCGGTGATGACTCCCAGATGACTCATCAGACCTAAAATCAAAGGAATCAGAATGACAGCAGGTGGAAACCAGGCAGCCAGGTCTCTTGCTGGGATGTCAAGAGCTGCCCCTTGCTGGTCTCCCCACACCAGTGTTCCTGCTCCCAACCTCCAGCCTCCTCCCAGCCTCCTGAGGGACCAGATTATAAACCTGACGGTGTCATAGCATTGCTCACAACTCTCAGAGACTTCCTACTGCATTTCCTGGTCCCGCTGTGGAAGTTTCTGGCTCTGTCACCTCTGGAAGCTGGGCATGGTGGGCACTGCCCTGGCCAGAATGAACTGGTCATGGTACCTGCTTCCTTGTCTGGTGTGGGTGCTTGACTGGTGGGCACCCTGCTGCATAGGAGGCTGGAAAGTCACCCACTCCGTCTGCCGCAGTGAGAGATGGGCTGTGCACAAGGGTGCTCAGGTGTGGGTGAGAGGCCAAGTCTGCCCGGAGAAGGGGTGCCTTGGGTGATTCTCACAAAGATACCGTATGGCTCGTGCTGGCTCTGGAGACGTGTGGCAGGAAAGCAATGTCCCAGACATTGGCAGGAGCTGGGCAATCAGAAAGAGTGGCAACCATCCCCATGCCTAGGAGCATGGGTCGCTTATGCTAGTCCACAAGTTCAACTATAACAAAATAATTTCATTAAATGCTGAGCATTCTTCAGAGCCTTGCTGGGGTTTGTGACGGCCTTCGAGGAAGTCCCCACCCACCCAGGGCCAGTGTGGGAGAGAGGGAGGGCTTCTCTAGAGCTCAGCCCTTGGGTGTGTCACACCCCACCCTCAAGTCTCAGTGTGCACATCTGCACAGTGGGGGCAGTAATTGTTGGCCTCCAGGGCTTCGGTGAGTGGCCACAAGAGGAGGGGGTTGAAAAGTCTGATATGTAGATGCTCAATTAATGAGTTTTTATATTTTCCTTTGAGATTTTTTTTGTTATTTCAAAGGAAGAAAAGCTGTCACTTTGACCATTGGTTGCTGCCACCTCAGAGTTTCCCAGCCCCTCCCCAGCATGGAGACACAGGACTATCTGCAGAGCCAGCGTCCATGGGAGGAAGCTGGGGCACAGAGAGAGCCTATCCAGCTCCTGGCCTGGAAGCCCAGCCACTGCCTCCTTGGGCTCCTGGAGCCCCCTTCTGTCCCTGCTGGGCCCATGGTGGAGGGTGGCGCAGGCTCCACCTCTCAGGAGGGACGGCATGAAACAGGAGCAGAGGGGCAGAGGGACACTGCCACACCTCACACTCACTCAGCAGCCTGCCCACCCCGCCCCCTCCCCAGTGGTGGGGGAGAGTAAGGAATGGGGTGGAGTCAGAGGGAGGGGCACTTGCTGGGCATCCACTACTGGGCAGGACCACAGGCCTAAAGACCTGGCCCAGAGATCCCACAGGCCACGCAGAGGCTCAGATCCAGTCCCTGTCTCAGAAAGTGTCCCACTCACCAGGGAGGCACACCCACTGTCCCTCAAAATTCATGTGTTGAAGCCGTTATCTTCTCTTAGAATGTGACTGCGTTTGAGAGAGGGTCTCTGA